TGCAGATTGGATAGCCAACATCGGAGATGGAACTATCGGAGGGTTGAATGATGGATGTGCACCTATAGACATACCCGATGACATTTTGCTTCAGCCATCTGATGATCCTATTGCTCAGATAGTTGAAAGCACATATCCAATGTATAAAGAGGCACCCGAAGATCCAAGTTATTTGAAGGATAGGGCTATATTAGCGCCGACGTTGGATGTAGTCGAGTCTATCAATCAGTACATGACATCATTGAATTTGTTGGATGGTCGTATGTACTTGAGCTCTGACAGTACGTGCAAATCAGATTCTAATAATGATTTTTTGTCTGATCTCCATACGCCTGAGTTTTTGAATAGTATCAAGTGTTCCCGGAATACCCGAACCATGAGTTATATTTGAAGATTGGAACTCCAGTCATGTTGTTGCGGAACATGGATCATTCTATGGGTTTGTATAATGGGACACGATTGGTAGTGACAAAGCTATCGACTCACGTTCTTGAGTGTAAGATACTCACAGGAGATCATGCTGGTGATAAGGTGTTGATTCCAAGAATGGTCATAACTCCTTCTGATGTTAGAATTCCTTTCAAGTTCTAGCGGCGACAGTTTCCCATTATGGTTTCTTACGCCATGACTATAAACAAGAGCCAGGGACAATCCTTATCTCATGTTGACTTATTTCTTAAGAAACCAGTGTTCAGTCATGGCCAGTTATATGTTGCTGTTTCCCGTTTCACTAACCGAAAAGGTTTGAAAATCTTAATTTTTGGTGAAGATGACGTGCCAAAGAATCAAACCAATAATGTTGTATATAGGGAAGTGTTCAATAATAGATGATTTTTTCAATTTAATGATATGTTTATATGTCTATTATTATGATCATGATCATTGCCTGCATAACACAATTTATATACAAAATTGTTTTTTAAAAACATTCTAGATAATAATATCCCCGTGCATCGCATGGGTAACTACTAGTATAAATAAGGAACAATATATACTAATTTATAATAAAGAACCAAGTGAATTACCAATATTATTTTAAATTCTAAAAAATAGTTTATATACATTATTAGTTTATTTATAATATTTTTATTTAAAACACATAAGAGAATAATATGGACAAAAGCATAAAATTTTGAAAGTGAGGTAATACGCACATTATACAATGAATATAATAATAGATTTATATTGAATAATTTAAATATATTAAATATGTGTATATATGACAATCCAAACCTAAGATATTTGGTATAAAAAATTAGTAATTTTTGTTTGAGCCGTATTACAAAGCATAATATTTTGCCACATGAAATTACGAAGAGTCCGAGGCTGTCACTTAAACTTAGCGCGTTGTAAAGTTATATATAATGGGATATTATCATTAATTAAATTTTATATTCTATATAATATTTTAATTTTATATAATTATTATTAACACACCGAATTTTTAATAATTTCGAATCAAATATAATTATATTTGAATTCAAATTGTTATAAATTTCAAATACAAAACACTAATATTTCATTCGAATATGAATTTGTATTTTTAAAATACAAATAAAAAATATTCAATTTTAATCACAACTATTTCATTATAACTCCAACCAAAACGGCCCATGATGATTTGATTTTGATCAAGTACTCCATCCGATAATTTTGAGATTTAATTGTGGTGGGGCCAAATATTATGTAATTTTGAGTGGAGATAAATTCAACCCCGTCCCCTGCGTACAATTGGTCCGCCATGAATTCTTTGGTTGTTTGTTCCCTCAATGCATACATCTCCACTTTCTTTTTATGTTTCACTACAAGAAACACATGCTTTTACTGGCGCAAATTTTTGCCTGAAAACATACATACTTGTTAGGTAAATAGTAAGATTGGCGCAAATTGATATATATATTTACTTTCAAATCGATGTCATATTTTGAAAACAATATAAACAAAAGTTTAACATTATACAATATAAGTATGTATCTTTATTGGAATTTTATGACATGTTGATCTGACAATTAGACTGCCTTATATAAAAATTTGTATTCCTTAAAATGTTGATACAGGCGCCAATAGAAATATTCATTCCATGGGCATACTAAAAAGTAATGTGGCTAGCACATGCTAATGGTTTGATTTAGTCCATCAGCTTTCTCTCAACGGCCATATCACATATTAATGGATACAATCCATGGGTGCATGGCGTCTAGGGCGTGTGGTCCCCTCCCCCCAACAATACCTGACGGCAAATATTGCCGATGACCAAGTCAGTCCTTGAAATTTAGCCGAGAATAGTAATTCATTCACATGTTACGTTTATAACAAATCCTGCTTTGAGGCAAATTTAGAGTAATTAAAAAATGCATATATATATATATATATATATAATGTTGAGGTAGAACAACAAGTGTAGCGGACAAAAATATTCCTACAACAAATTTGACAAATACTACTACTAACAAAAATAAACCAATACAAATAAATAAAATACGAGAAAGAAAAAGAACACACAGAATTGATAACGGAGTTCGGCCAATATTGCCTACGTCTTCGGGCACCGCCAACCGCAACGCCAAATTTATTAAACTTAACAACAAAATACAACTAGAATTAAATAACCCACAAATTAGAATTTCCTTAATTAAAGACTTCCTTCTAAGATAGGAGAGAATAAAATCAAGTTCAATTGTAACCCAAAGGCAAGAGACATATTTATACTAAAAAGATCCTACACATCTTTGGTACACATCTGATGTGGGACAACAAATTAATCAAAATCTAACAATTCTCCACATTGACTAGCTTTGCTCTCACTCCGACTCTTCAATCGAACTCAACTACTGGCAGTGCCTCCAAATGTGCCTCTCTTCATTTCTTTTTATAATTAGAACTTAATAAAGTGAATGTTGTACCAAATTTTATTTTTGGTAGAGTAACTTGTCTCTATCTAAAAAAAAAGATACATCAATTTAGTGTACATCAAGTTTGATTGTTTAATTTGTTATGTTAAACATTATATACACATAATAAAATAATATGTAACCTTTTATTTATAATTATGCACATGCATAGGATAGTATTCAAATATTATGGAATAAGTGGTTATACATAAATTAGTTGGAAGGTCATTTGTCCGACTAATAATATTATAGGTGCCAACTCAAATATTGGTCAAGTCTAAACAATGTTCAAACTTGACAGTTGTCTCTATCTTGGTCATCATATCTGCATGGTTCTCCGTCGTCTTGATCTTCTTCAACAGAACTTTCCATCTTCTAGAATCTCTCGCACAAAATGATAGCGAACATCAATATGTTTCGTTCTTGCATGAAATACTTGATTTTTCGCTAAGTGAATAGCGCTCTCACTGTCACAATACACTAAGACGTGTTTTTGACCAACTCCCAAGTCTTCAGGCAAACTTTGAAGCCAAATAGTCTCCTTCACAGCTTCAGTAACCGTCGTATACTATGTCTCTGTTGTAGACAAAGTAACTGTTGACTGTAAAGTAGACTTCCAATTGACTGGAGATTTTGCAAGAGTGAACAAATATCAAGTCGTTGATCTTCGCTTATCCAAATTGCCCGAGTAGTCAGAAATATAAAAGCCAACTACACACTAAAAGTAAGAAATAATATTTAAGTACAATTTTTAATTTCCTTACTTTTTTTGTTCACTTTAAAATTTATATTTTTATTATTGTTTTTTTAATTTTATTACATATTTAGAATAGTAAATCAAAATAATATTTGAAATATTTATTTTCAAATTCGCTTTTCTTAATTTTTTGAAAATAAAATTTATTATGTTTTTGCATAAATATAATTTATATGAATCAATTTTATCAATTAAGTTAATTGTTAGTTAACATTTTGTTTATGAATATGTAAATATAGATTATGAAAAATAATACTCATGTTTTACATATTTATGTCAACAAGTATGCATGCTTGGATACAAATTCAACCCAAAAAATCCAATCATTTTAACTCAACCACTTTTTTTAACTCAACTTTAACATAACCACTATCATCAATATTATCAATATAATTAAATAATATCAATCAATCATTCTTACACACAAAATCAACCTTAATTTACTATTCATCAACTCATATAACTTTAACCAACCATCATATCACATCTTCTCTCTCCTACTTTTACATCAATTTAATTTTAATCATTTTGTTTTAAATATTATTTTAATATATTCACTAATAACTAACTATACTAACTTTTTCAAATTAATCAACCCAAACAAAAAATTCAATCGAAAGAAAAACCTTTTATATCCAAGCATGGTATACTTGGCCTTAACTAAAAAATATTAAATAAAAATGTAAATTTTTCTTTGGAAAAATTAAATACAATTCGACACAATTAATTCGTAATGGAATTTTCACATGCAATCAAAAAAATAGGACACGTTGCACTCATGCATCAAATATCTTTCACGTGGATAACTACTAGCTAGCTAGTAGGGGTGGTGCGAGGACATAATAAATAGGAGTAAATAATAGTAATAATAATAATAAAAGGAGTTTAAACGCCGTAGGAGTGAGCAAACGGCGTGATTCTGGGTTTTTACAAAGTTGCAAAGCTACACGCAACGTCCATTTTGCTTTTACCTTTTTTGCCCCCCAAAAAAAAAACGTGTTTCCAATGGTTGTTGCCAACTTTAAACAAAGCCTCAATGACTCAGTCCCCCCAAAAAGATAATGAAACTCTCTGTTTGGCGTACCACCTACTTTTACTCTCCGTCTCTCTCTACCCCTATATATTTTTTTTTTTAACTAATTACAAACATATATTCCTCGTGCTTCTTTTCATTTCCCCCCCTTTTCTTATTTTCTTTTCTCATTTTTTAAAAGAAAAAAAAAATTCTGGTGCCTGTTCCTCTCTCAACCCTACATAATTTTATAATTATATATAATTCTCACAACCCCTTTGCCCCCAATACTCAAAATCTCAACTCGAAATTGATTTGTAGAAGCAACACACCTCGCCGTTCATCTATCTGTTTGAGTTGGCTGCTTTATTATTCCGGTCGCCAGAGATAAAAATGGGCTCCGCTGAGATTGTAGACTCCCGCANTCTCCGGTGGAGACTATGAATCTGTTTCCGATGATCGAGAAATCGGGTTCCGGAGATCTGGAAGCGCCGCCGGCTTTGTTCCCCAAGCAAGCCCCCGCCGCCGCTGCTGCCGGCAGAGATGAAACCCTGAAAAAACCCAATTTCAGGTTTTAACAAAACGACACTCTTCTTCACCTTTTTTATTTCTAAATATAATCCATTAAATGTTGTCGTTTGGTGTTCTTCTCAATTGTGTTGTGCGAATAACAGTTGGATTTCTGTATTTGTGCGTGTGTGTTTGCAGTGGTGTGGAAAGTGCGCAGATGACCATATTCTACAGTGGTCAGGTTGTGGTCTTCGATGACCTCCCGGCGGACAAGGCCAAGGAGATCCTGATGTTGGCCGCGAAGTCGAGCGGAGCCGCCCAGAACCGCCCCAGAGCACCCTTCCCTTCTCTACACGCCGCCCACAGCCCGGCGGAGTCCGCCACCGGCGTTAACCGCTTGGTTCCCACCTGTCCTGCACAGCCACCTCTTGATTCTGGTGAGCTTATATTTACAAATTCCCGATTTTAGGATTTGTCTTCTCTCGATTAAATTAATGCTGATATTAATTTATTTATATTTATTTTATTTCATTTTCTTTTTATTTTGGACTTGGTTTGCAGATTTACCAATTGCCAGGAAAAACTCATTAGCAAGGTTCCTGGAGAAGAGAAAGGACAGGTATGAATATCCCGGCTCAAAAAAATATAAGAAGTAATAACTTTTTAGGAAAAAAATATAGAAAAACTACAGGAGGCCAAATCAAGATATTGGATACAGATGACTTCAAATGAATTGTTCAAAAGTATAATATATTATATATTAATCTCTTATATTTCTGATTAATATCTTTAAGCTTTCTTAGTCAAATCATTACTTTTTTGACAAAACAAAAGTATCACAGTCCCGTATTTGGGGACACAAGAAAATGGTGGAAAAGATATATATCTTGATTAATCATATTGTTCAATTTAAATAGACTAGATATTGTTCAATTTAAATAGACGACTGCGGATTTACATTCAAGTTAGGGAGCAATTACCCCTCAATTTTTATGTTTTTTTTTTAACTATTTATTAGGTGTAAATTAAATTTGTCCCTTCTAAATTTCATTTTGCCCCCTCTCCACTAAGAAAAAAAAGTAATAAAGGAAAAAGAAAATACCTTAAAAGTTAGAGTAGCCGTACTCATTAAAAAATTATAATATCCAAGTGAACCTAAGGTCGAGTTTAAAGTTTTTCTCATACTTTTCTTGGAACATTTCAAAAATTTTTGTTTATAATAATAGCTAGTACAATATATGTGTATTACTCAGAGTGTTTGTGAAAAAAATTACTTAAATTTTAAAGTAATAAAAAAAAGCTTATTTCAAATTTTGAAATGTTTTTATGAAAAAATATATTATTACTTATATTTAAAATGACACCATCACATATACGACTTACTCGTTTTATAGTATATAATATTTATTTTAACTTATATCATATTACAAATTCGTAGTTAAATTTATTCAATTGATAAGTAATTTTATTTTTTCAATTAAAATTAATAGATAATTTAGTTTTTATTTGTGAATATAAATATAATTATTTATTTCTTTTATAATATAGATGTCATATTGTAGCTAATGAATAGATGATTGACGTGATATATTATGAATGAAAAGTTGATAATAAGTGTAAAAGCTAACATTTAAAATATTAATTACAATCTAAGTTAGTCAAATGTTTTACTTCTTCCTATTCTTTTTAAATGTCGTTTTGTGATTTGACACATAAATTAAGAATTTTTTCTTTTCAATATTAGTTTTTTTAAAGCAAATTAACATTAATTAATTTGTTTCTTTTCAGCTTTTTCATGTTCTTTTAACTCGGAAAACTCATAGTATTCCACAATTTTCCTCCTGGAGGAAAACATGTAGTGTATTAGTTAAATGAGAGTAACAATGAAAAAATGTGTAAAAGATTTAAAACGTCATTTATTTGATTAATGGTCAATAAAGCTAAAATGACAAATAAAAAGAATAGGAGGGAGTACAATTTAAAAAAAAAAATCGGGAAAAAAAGAAAGATCGAGGGAAAACAATTATCATACCTAATAAACGTCCATAATAGGAAATTATATTAAAATCAATGCTTATAAAACTGGTCATATGTATCTAATATATTTATGGATCCTTCCAAGTCTAACTATTAAAGGATTGGAAGTAAATTAAAAGCTGTCCAAACCAAATGACGAAGCATGAAAGTTTGTCACATAGGATCTCGAAGCGTGCGAATACTTAGGCTCAACACATTCGAAAATTATATGTAAAAACAACATTGACTCTGCCTACAGAAAATTTCATAAATCAATATAGAATCTAGTCATTAACAAAATGACAACAACATTGTCTCTGCCTACAGAAAATTTCATAAATCAATATAGAAACTAGTCATTAACAAAATCAGCTTGTGAGCTCGTTCTCAGGTTTAATATAAGTTAATACTCCAAATTTTTAAATAGATAGAAGCAAAAATAACCATTATGATATGAATACGATATAAATAATAACATGAGCTTTTTAATATTTTATTAAGTACCAATATATCTATCTGTTATACGTTAGTCTTTAAACAAACAAGCTTCTAAGTTGGATGTGGAGATTAAATAAGAGGTTGCGCTATACTTGGTTAAATAATTATATTTTAAAATCAAACTCAATTTGTTTAAAATTAATATTGGGTTGCAAAAAATGGAACTAGTCAAAAATCCTGCATCCGCCCTGCAGTGGGATTCTAGGTGGACATTCAAAGATAAATATATATATAAAAAAATATATATAAATTCTTGTATGATACGGTCTATTGTTATATCCACGACGTATCTTATTTTTCTTTAAAAATGCATCATGTTTGAATTTGTATTGTTTATATATTTTTATTTACCAGGCTCTATACTTTTTCCTTAGATGTTTTTCAAATTAAAACATCATACTCTAAATAACACATAAATAAAACTATAGTACTTTATAACACAAGTATTCATTTTTGTAATATAGATATGATTGGTCAACTCTGGATTATAATGTATTACACAAGAATTTGGGTTCCATTTAGATTATATATATCTATTAAAAAAATGACCTAGCCGTTAGGTATGGTACTAGACAACTTTAATCATGCCTACTTAGTACTTTAATCCATTTAGTAGTTTGTTTTGTACAGGATCACAGCCAATGCACCCTACCCAGCAAACAAACCGGAGGCACCATCTAAGCTAGCGGCTGCCACAAGCGAGCCGTGGATGAGGCTGGCGCCTGAGCTTATTATTCAGCGCCACTAGCCATCCATGATTATATTACCTTATAAATTAATGCTAGTAGCGTGTCTATTTGGGTTTATCTATTGACTTTGACTATATAAGCCTCTTGGGTTTTTCGTATCAGCACTATTATTATTATCATTATTATTATTACCTTTAAGCCAAATAGAATGATTAGTTAAAAATCCTAGACTATGTTTAAGGCCATTATTATCACGTATAGCTATGGATCGTGTTTCTTTTTCCCCTGAAAATCTCATTTTCTGGGTTGATGATGTATCTGTAATATTGACATGTTGGTTCAAGCTGTACTTTTTATTGGCCTTTTTTATTATTATAACATTCTATGAGTATGAAGACTAATGACTATTGTTCGCAAATTCCGATTTGTTCTCGTTGATTTTCTGGGTTGATGATGTGTCTATAATATTGACATGTTGGTTCAAGCTGTATTTTTTATTGGCCTTTTTTATTATTATAACTTTCTATGAGCATGAAGACTAATGACTATTGGTCGCAAATTTCGATTTGTTCTCGTTGGTCACGATTGAGCCCGTCGACTGGACTTGATTGAAATTTGGAATTCTAACTTTAGGCTTTTTTTTTATTTTTTATTTTTTTTGGTAAAAAGAAGAGAGGCTAGCCTAGCCTAAGTAAAAATTTGACTGAGGATAAGATATCCCGACCAAATTATGATGTAACCATATGCCTGCTCCCGGTGGAGGACTCTCCAACCTCTGAAGGCCACCCGGGCTCTTGCCCGTCAAGGATGCCAAGTAGTACAACATAAAATTTTATTCCCTATAGCCATGAACGATCTCTACCACCCATGGACGACCCAAGACCTCTTGTACTCCCTTCAAAACACTTCCATGCGGCCCGTTGTACTGCTCCTGCCGCACCATATCATGATGCTCTTATTGTCCACTTCAACCGTAATCTTACGAGCCTCGATATACCAAGCCAACTGGAGACCCTGAAACAAGCCCCATAATTCAGCGTCACTAATCGAGCAAAACCCGATGTTCATCAAGAACCCTCGCACCCACTTCCCATGGTGATGACGAATGACTCCACCGGCACTTGCCATTCTCGTCTACGGATTGAAGCTACCGTCCGTATTGACCTTCAACTCACCCTCCGTCGGGAACGACCACGAAATCCACTGTTGCTCACGTACGCCAGTTGCCACAATCTGGCGACTCCCATCCAAAGCACGGCGCAACATGGCCGCATAAGAACACACCTCACCCATCCGTTGGTGCAGGGAGATGTCAGACCCGTTGAATATTTTTAAGTTCCGCCACCGTCATAAACGCCAAGCCGTATGCCCAAAAAGAGAATCCCAATTGTCACTAGCACCGGGTAAGTCGCCCGTGAGATTAAATAAAAGCCAGCCCCTAAGATCCAAAGAAAAGAACCAAGGCCATTGGCTGCTGGGAACTAGCGATTTCCAAGTTCGGGCCGACGCCGGGCAATCACGTAGCGCATGGATGGTTGATTCGTAGTCCGCCATGCAAATCGCGCAGGTTGGATCCGACGCCATATGTCGACAATGCTGCACCGCGTTTTCCAACAAACTATCACGAGCGAACAACCATAGAAATGTCGTACTCGCTGCGGGCCTACTGTTTGTTCCATTTTTGTTACGTTTTTTCTTAATTTTTTGTCATTCTTTTCCCCTGTTTTAGGTCATTTTGTTGGTTTGTAGTTCGTTTTGTTGATTATTGCGTGTTCTCCTTTGTTTTTGTTCTTTTTGTATTTTTCGTATGTTTTTTCGATTTTGATTCGTTTTTTGTGTGCAGGTCGGAAATCCCGTGAGAAATAGATTTAGCCCGAAAATCAACCAGGAAATCATGGTTGAGTAGAAGGGTTCGTTGGTGACATGTGGAAAAAAGCGGAGCTCAATTTCGAGCTTGGACGAGTCCGAACGGGCCAAAAATGCGAAGTCGCGCGAATCACGCCTTTAGTGTGATGGTCAAGAGATTTGGGAGAACATGTTTTCATGAATAATTTGGCCATGCAATAGAGGGGTTCGTTAGCGACGCGTAGGAAAAAAACGGAACTCAATTCCGAGTTCGGAAGAGCCCAAAACACAAAGTCGCGCACCCAGCCTTCCTTAGCTGCACTAAGGAATTCTGCAGCTACTCTCTGGCGTCGGTAAGAAAGGATAGCGCCGCTAATCATCCGGGCTTAGCGGCGCTAAGGTGCATTTTTTAGCAAAAAGTGCATTTTTCCTTGAGCTTTTCAAGGGAGAATGGCACAAGTATCGATTGGGAGCATATTTGATCGGATTTTTCAGCCCCAAAACAGGATTCCACTCCATATTTTCTTCTCTTCTTCTTCTTCTGTTCTCTGTTCTTTTCTTCTCCATTTTTCTTCATTTTTCTTTCTTTTCCGTTTTAGGGATTAAGCTTGTATTGTGGATTCAACACTTGGATTGAGATTAATTGTAAGTTTTTCTTCTTATTTAATTCATAAAAATGGTTGAATTTGGAGAAATGATTGATTGTGTTGAATTTATTTTACTTAGCTAATTTCGATTGCTAGGGATAGGGGATGATTACTCTTGTTTAATTCGTGATTGTTGGGCGTTAATTTGTTCATTCCTGTACGAGTTGAATTGATTAGGAATTGATGAATGCTTGCTTAATTTATTGATAAGTTGATATAACGTAAGAGTGACACTTAGGTTAATTTATTAATGTAATCGAAGAATGACACTTCGATCTTGCGATTGGAAATGATTGAATGTTGATTTATCGAGTTGGGTTTGTTGATTCTACATGATTAGTTGATTAAATACCTTTTAATTTATTTAGCGACTTTTAGAACCGATAAGGGAGGTGTCGTAGAACTAGGCTCGTACGAGGTAGACATGTTCGGAGAAGTATTTTCTATTGGTTTTGGATTAAAGTACACGTTTGTCGATGTCCCTTCCCATGCTATGAAGAGTTATTGGGATTGGATTATTAGCCGGTGTTGTATGCTCGAACTTGCTCGTCTATGTTCAATCCCATGTTACGAAGAGTTACTGGGAGTGAACCGCTAGATGTTTAAGCGAGAGTATCAATCTTGAACCGAACGATTAATTGCCCGACTTTACGTTTCGAGCTTGAATTAATTATCCCCGATTCTCTAGCTTCTTTATCTTTGTGTCGTTTATATTTTTAGGTAGATTTATGTTTTATGTTATTTCTTAGTTAATAATAAAAAAAAAAACCAACAAATTGAATTAGATTGTTTAGGATTTATTTTCCTTTTATGTGTTATCAACACCAATCCTAAATTCCGAACCGCTTTCCTCGAGAGATCGACCCGGGGAACGAATCATTCGATTCGGTACTCGGTAATTTAAAACAATTTGTGCTACAACACCCACCCACGTCCAAATCGCTCTCCATAGCTGATCACCCCGTCGACCCGATGGTTGTTTTTCTTTTTAATACTAGTACGTACTCCGTGCGATGTATGTGACTTAGATATTAAATGAGTTATTTTTTCACAGGCTCTGTCCGTTTAAGTCAAAAAAGCAATACGGTTATCATCTATTTTCCACTTATTTTAATCAGCGATAAGTCTAAAAAACAATAGGATTATAGTCTATTTTCCACCTCTTTTAATCAGCGTAGTTTTTTTAGCCAAAACATTAAATATGAGCATGTTAGGCTATCTTGTAAAATAATTAATCTATTATCTCACTAACACATTTATACTAATATAAATTTATTTTAGTATAATATATATATATATTCCTTGATATAAGAGAAAATAACAGTTTTACGTATTTTTGTTCACCATATAATACTTAGTTATTATTTTATTATCAACTTTGTTGTCATATAATGTCATTATTATTTATAAAAGTTATAGAAGTTGTACGTTTTTTATTTCTTTTCATTTTATGTAATGAAAAATATTTCATGCACGTTAATATTATTTATTTATGTAATAAATTTAAAATATGTCAATAAATTTAAAGTTAAATAGTGTATAAATATTTTACAAAATATGCACACATGTTTTTTTATAATTTAATTTAGTATACTAATTAAACAACTTGAATTTTGCAAATGCCAAGAACACAATCCTTTCTATAATAAAGATTTTTCTATTTATCATTATAAGGATGTATAATTTATTTAGAATACTCTGCAATGAAAATATATTCTACAAGAATTTCATTAAATAAAGAAATAAAAATTAAAAAATTAAAAAAAAAAAAATCAAGGTTGCCAATAATTTACAACAAATTCTATAGAACAGTTAATATATTTTAATTTTGATTTTTGACCATTAGTAAAGCTATTTGATGTATCTGGTCATTGTCTCTTAAATGGTAAATTATATTAATTTGAAGAATAATTTTTTTTTTTTATATATATAATGAAATAAAGCTTAAGAAAAAATTATATTGGCAAAGATTAATTAACCAACTTGATTTTGCCTGATTAATTGGAAGAAAAAATTATACCAAATATGTTACGATTTTTGATAAATATTTTTAGATAAAAAGTGAATATTTGTGGAAAAAAATTAATATTATGGTTAGAACTTAAAGTATGTTGTGATATTTATCTTAACCGGAAAATTATCAACATGAATCATGGAAAATCAATCTTATAATTTATTATAATGGATATAAATGAAATTATTGCAGATATTAACAAAATTATTTAAGAAAACAATATTTTTTATTATATTTGATTTGATCTTATTTTAAAACGTGAATATGGAAGCAATTAATGCATCTATTTCAAAAATTACTAAAAAAATATATAAATTTAATGCTTACAAATTTTTGTACTACTATTTTTAGTAAATAGTAATTCTTATTATTTAGATATATAGATTTTTTTTATTTGAACACATAAATTTAGATTTTCTTATATTCTATTGGAATGTATTTGAGAAAAAAAATATTTCTATCATTGCTTTCCAGATATTTAAAAGCAATTTTTGAAAATCGATACTCTCTCAGCTCCCTTAGTTATTT